GACAATATTCCAGCCAAACTTGTAAAGGACTCGAAAGACGTTGTGGCCCCTTTTTTAACATTGATTTTTAATGCCTCCTTAAGTAATGGAATTTTTTCTGATGATTTTAAAATAGCCAGAGTAAGTCCAATTCATAAATTAATCTGGAAACAGAGAAAAATGAGGTAATTATCGACCTAATTCTATACTCTCGATAATTGCAAAACTGTTTGAGAAGCTTGCAACTCAATATATTTTTAACCAAAAATAATATCCGAGTCCATGTCAGTCCCGCGGTTTTCGAAAAGGTTACTCAACCCCAACAGCTCTTTTAGAAAATACTGATTCATGGCTACTGAATATGAATGCTGGGTTGATAAACGGTGTCCTTTTCCTTAATCTATGCAAAACATTTGACACAGTTGATCATAAAATTCTTATTAAAAAGTTATTTATTTATGGAATTCGAAACAAATCCCTAGACTGGTTTAAATCGTATTTGCACAACAGAAAACAATTCTGCGTGGTCAATAATGCAACATATCGTACACACAGAAAGTAAGTTGAGGGGTTTCACAAGGATCAAATCTTGGTCCTCTTCTATTTTTGTTATTTGTGAACGACCTCCCAAACTATATGGAGAACTCGAATGCAGCAATGTATGCTGATGATACAAATATTACGGTGCGTTCATCTAGTTTAATCCATGTGGAAGAGGCCTTAAATAGTGAATTGGAAAATATTCATCACTGGCTTCTTTCAAACAAATTGACCTTAAATGTAGAAGAAACAGAATATATGATCATTGGAACACGTCAAAGGTTGTATAATCTTTCTCAAGACATTAATGTTTCTATCGATGGGAAAGTATTAAAAGAGGTTGAAACTAAAAAGACCTTAGGCGTATTGGTTGACGAACATCTGTGCTGGGATAAGCAGATTGACAATGTTAGTAAAAAAGCTTTAAAGGGTATTGGCATGTTGCGTCGTGTAAAGCCCTATGTTCCAACTAAATCTCTTAAACACCTTTATCAAGCTTTAGTTCAACCACACTTTGATTACTGCTCGATGGTTTGGGGTAACTGTGGTGAATATTTAAGAGACTAGCCTACGTCATAGACTCAAACTCGTCCCTCGTAGAACGAGGAACGAGTTTGAGTCTATGACGTAGGCTATTAAGAGACGACAAGCTTCAGAAGCTTCAGAACCGAGCTGCAAGAGTTATTACTGGCGACCCACATGAAACACGCTCGATCGATATTTTAAAGAAACTAGAATAGAAAACGTTAAGTGAAAAAAGGAAGGAGCAACAATTAAAATATGTATCAAAAGCTCTTACATGCCACTGTCCTAAGAACATTTGGGATATTTTTAAAACCAACTCTGTAAGATATGAATTAAGAAGCAATAATAATAAGCTGATGAAATAAAAACTCTTGAATTATCTTTTATCTTATTTGGGAGGGGTTTGAGTTCGAATATTTTACTGTTACTATCTGGGGAGGGTGAATGGGAGTTTCTTATACTGTTTGTAACTACACGGCCTAATGAAAAGCAACGAAAACCTAGTATTTGGGAAGCAGAGGTGGAAAGTACATTTATGATTTATAGGGCGTTGCTCCTCTCTTCTCATGCAAAAAGATCGAAAGAAGACAGGGAACCCTCTGCCAATGTTCAACACAGAATGGCGGCGGATAAATTGCACCCAGACTTTACAACAGTTTCCTTGTATTATTAAATCCGCCTAACCGGGAATTATTTTATTCAGGGCCTCTTTTAAGAGTTTGTCTGGAGGGGCCATCAAGAGAAAGGGACTCAACTAGGAGGTGGTAACTTGGGAAAAGTGGGAACTTGTCTGGGCCAGAAAAATTTTGCATTTTTATGTGTCCGGGGCTTGATTTTCAGCATTTTTAGACACCATTTTTTATTATATTTCATCGCTAGACAAAGATTTAGTCATGCATGGGAATACTAAAATGCTCTTCTAAAACTGGGTTATTCTTCCCCTTGTTGCTTATATTTCAGACAGAAGGGACCTTCATTGGGTGGGGGACTACATAGTTCACTGGAGGAGCCAAAACATATAGGGGAGAAGTCCCCATGTACCCCCTGTCTATGGTATTAAAAGAGCCCCTGATTTTATTTCGCAAAAGTACACACAAGAGAGTTGAAAGAGTTTACTTATCGGTTATCGTTTAAATTAAGCAAAACAGCAAAAGATGGTTCAGATAATTAGCCCTTAGAAGCAACTACATAGTCAGAAATTTACGTTCTGATAAGATTACGAGCAAATGTTGGCAAAGATTTCACATGAAGTTTTAATCGTACGCCCACAAACTCACTAGGCCTGATCAGCGTTTGATCGCATAAAAACATGAAATACTGAATATCCAGGAAAGCGCATGCATAGAAAATGTAATATGAGCTTAAACCTCTGCAGAAGCCTGCTACTGGTCCATTGATTGATGGTATATGAGGTAAAGGCGGTCACCTAGTTGGTGACAACTTTGCTCTGATTTTATACGTGGCTGAAAAAACATGTGAGCAAGATTTTGGTTCGCTCTCTGCTGGGCTTCAAGGGATTTTTTTCTTTATGATAATTTGCCCTATAGTAATATGTAGAACGTATATATATTTTATAATACTGTTATAGTTTATAATTTTTATAATATAATAGTTTATTTAACTCTTTGCATAAGGGTAAGAAAATGAATTTTCAGTAAAGGTTAATTGAGCTATATAAGCATTAAATTAATAGTAATTAGAAACATCTAAATCGGTTTTCCCGTCCTGACCCATTGTTTTTATATTTTATACAGTACGTACAAGTTGTGCTGACTGGCTAAGCAAAAGTCCAGGTTCAGATGTCCGAGATGGTGTATATTATATAAATCCGGATGGGAAATTGCAGAAACATTTTCTAGTCTGGTGTGATATGTCTACGAGGGGGGGAGGTTGGACGGTGTTTCAAAGAAGAAGAAACGGATTGCAGAATTTTGTGCGTCCTTGGGAAGCTTATAAATATGGATTTGGTTCGAGAAAAAATGATTACTGGCTTGGTCTGCACAGGATTCATCGCATGACGCGAAGTGAAGAACAAGTTCTAAGAGTTGATCTTGAAGACTGGGAAAATAGCCGTCGGTATGCACTGTATGAAACATTTTCTCTTGCAAATGGGGATCTTGAATACCAAATTACAGTTCGAAATTATTCCGGTAAATATATTTTTTTACATACAATACAACTCGCAAGGCATAAAAACAACTAGCTAGGTTGTTGACGTGTTGAAAAATATCGAAAACCGATATTGACATACAGATGTAGATATCGAAAACAAAATAGCTTAACTTAATGGACCATAAATTTGTGTTTTATTAATGGCCCATAATTCGTACCAAATTCATGTGGTATGAAAAGTTATCCATTTTTAATATAGTTCAGATACGACAATAGCTGAAATACCAAATTGATCGATATTTTTGGCACATCGATATATTCGAACTTGCAATATCCAATAATCGATGATATATTTTGAAATTAAAGTACTCCGATAACTACACGTAAACTACGTTAAACGTTCCTCTTTTGAGTTCCTACTTGATTGTAATTTTCCTCATTAATTACTTTTGCAAAAATTCCCTTTAAGGAATTTGCAATGTTTCTAAGGCAAATTAAATTCCCTTCATTTCCTTTTGCAAGTTCTTATAGAGCATTTGCACTCATTCCCTAAGGACAGACTCAACAAAAGCCACGGCGAACATGTTGGTGTTCTAGACAAAAGAATCTAATGAATTAAAATTCGTTTGAATTGGTAAACACAACATGGCGGCTGTGACGTTATGTGTAAACGCTCTATACTAACTGTTATGAACGTTGTAATTGCATAACAAAAATAATTCACCAATGACATGAGAGTGAGAGAGCACAAGGGGAGGAGCCTGTCATTGTCGAAAGCAACTGAGTTTGTGAAAGCCGACTTTCGCCAAGTCCAAACTTTTCATTCTTATGCTTTTCTCCTACCATATCCATGAAAACGGCATATACACACATATTTTACTGAAACTATGTCTTTTTTGTGTTTCTTGCCATGCAGTTTTGCAGAGTTTTCGTATTCGCGTTTATTGGGCCTTCAACTTTTCAATTTTTGTCAGCCTCGCTTTAATCAACTAACATCGGTCCGGATGAGAAAGTTTCAAGGTCTCGGGAAAAACAGTTTTTTCTCATTCGGACCACGCAGCCGGTAAATAACATCTATTTATTCAAAACTTGATGAAAACTATTTAACGATATTCCTGTTTACCCGTTATATTCAATGAGTTCCATAAGTAGCAATACCATTTAGGCCAGTTTTATTCAAATACTATAATTGCATTTTGCCGAAAATCAAATTGAAAAAATGTAAGTACACAGTACTTTACTCGAAAGACTTTTAAAATGCAAAAGACTAATGGCTGATGTAACTCTGAGTGCCCAGTGTGAAGACACTCAGAGTAATATCAGAAAAAAAACTGTTATTAATGTCAGTAATAGTACTTAGCGGTGATTAGCTAAGTTGCAATCACTGCTTGCAATCATAGATATCTTATATAGACTAGATAACGCATCTCTTTTAGTAAAATTGAAGCCAAGAGTATTCCAGCGGTTACCCCCATTTGAATAGAATGTATAGATAGATAGATATTTTATTAAAAGCTACTTTGCAGCCACTTTGGCTGATTACATAGATTTTTACAATAGTATATAAATTTAAATATTAGACATGTTAGCCTACTAAATTATATTAAATTATTATAATACATCATAGATGGTACAAAAGTGTTCCTAAAGCGGTTAGTGTTAGTCATTGGAAGATCATAGAGGCGTTTGTGTCTTAAGTTATATTTCGCTTGGTGTTTTGGCGGCAGCAGTGCATGGAGTTTATGGTCACTGTCAGTTGATATTTTAAGGAAAAGCTTTTCACACAGTGTTTGTCTTCGGACCGATAAGGAGTTTAGTCCAGATTGCTGCAGGCTTTCTGAATATGGCTGCCCTCTGTAAATTATAG